CTATCAAAGGTAGAAAAATGCAACAAAGATAGTGATTATTGATCTACCATAGCGTCTTCTTAGGTCACAGCAGTGGCCACTTGCCTCCACGTACATTTCACGAATACCGTATTCAAAAAATCGGCATGCCCATTCAACTAGCATTGCACTGTTTTTTATAGTCGCATACGACTCAATCTTACTAAACATATCTGCACCTAACAAAAACTGTGTCAACAGTCAATATCTACAGTAAATTAATAATCGCAGGTAAATTTTGCATACCTGTCGTGTCACAACAGGCACCGGGTTGTATGCAGTTACAGAATGCGTAGGTGTAGTGCTATCAGGCTTATTTTGCTTTATTTCGAAACTCGATAGGTGAGTATTGAACATTTTGACTGATCCTCGCCTCTGAAAAATAAAAAATCGCGCACTGATTCCCTCCAGGTAATTTTACTCAGGTAGAGCAAAGACATCACCTTCCACTAGTTCCGCTACGCATAATACGTTGAAAAAGACATTCGAGAGACGCAAAGAGGGAAAGAAAAAAATACTGACCTCAGATATCGCTCTGCGAAACCGCCTACCAATGTCGGTTGGATCGCTGAACGCCACTCTGAACAGTTTGTCTTCGAAAATTTTTACCCTCGCTTTGCTTCCGATTCCTAATTATGGAGCTGTCCTTAGGCCGATGTCAGACTTTGCGAATCGCGCGATTCGCTAGCGTCCGCGGTCGCGTTGCGGTACCAGCCAATTGAGTGATTCACTGGCCGCGACGCGACCGCAGACGCTAGCGAATCGCGCGATTCGCAAAGTCTGACATCGGCCTAAAAAGTCGTAAACCAACCTAGTTCGCGGTACAAGTATTCCTGTAAAGTACCATTTCCTAATAACATCAAGAATCTCGCTTGCAATGCCTTTCCTTCTAGCAGCGGGATGCGTCCACAATCTATTCACTCCAACGATAGGGTCATCAGGGCGAATGGTCTGCAAATTGTTGCGTAAAAGAAGAAGCGAGGAACGTATAACAGGCTGGAGAAGTGGAAAGAAAATCGTTAGTATACCTCTCCCGTAATCGAACACTGTGCAGATAAGAGAGGCTCTGTCACGACAACACCAGCGATATAATGAGTGGAGCTCTAAAATTATTTTCGAGTAGTAAGGTCATATGTCACAATCAAAGAGCGTCTGGGGGTCTTTCTAAAGAAGTGATATGGTGACACTATCCGAAAGAATAAGTCAACTCCATGCTTGGTACGAAATTCCTACCATAGGAAGAGTTTCGACGCAAAAGAAACATAATCTCTGATGGGAGGTCCACTACGAACGGTGTCTTCAAAAATCATATAACATTTCTGTCTTTCTAACTGCTAACCTCAATCGAACGCTTAACGCTTCCCATACTGATAACAACACTGACGCTTCTGCAAACATCAACAGAAAGTAAATAAAAGTATTTGTAAGAGTCGCAGAAGTTGACAAACCTCTGTTATGATTGACACCCACACGGTCCTCCTGTCGTCCCAACCCCAAATTGAAAGGTCGGGGGCGAATCCTACACTTGGATTGACGATTTCCTGGAAATGTAGGAATCGACAGATCACATGCACAGATCGACATTTCAGAGAGCTCATAGCCAACCTCAATTGTTTGTTCCACTTTACGCTTCAATGAAGACTGGGAGTCTGGGTGAATTCGAAAAATCGACCCGTTAACAGAACTATAGTGACGTTCCTTTCTAGGACAGGATTTTTCATGAAGTCATAAAAACTGTGTTCCGCAAAGAAACTAACCTAAGCCACAGGTTCAGCTGTGATACAGAAACCTTTACCTTCGCGATATCACATAGTCGATTATGGTGTTGTTTATGCATTTCCACTTCTGCGACACTCTCGATGGAATACATCATTTCACACTGAAAGTTCAGTGTTTGTAAGCGACTGCTAGCAAAATCAAACACCTGCCTGCTGCGTAATCCGCTCGCTCATCAGTAAGGGGGCATCAAGTGGCTGCCCTCACCCCCACCCCCTAGAGTGCCTACACTCCCCCTGGCGCACAGGTTTCTCGAAGTACGGGACCCCGTGAGCCAGGGGGAGTGAAGCCAGTTCAGGGAGGTGGGGGTGAGGGCAGCTACTAGAACCCAATGCCCCCCCCTTTACCAGACGCAGCGCCGTAATCCGAATGCCTCAATCGCAATATGGCACCATTATGCGCAAAATGTGTTTATGGACAAAATTGACTGTGGCGCCAAAAATGGATGCCATATTCGTGATCAAGGCACTGAATCTCTCCTGCAGGCGAATTTCAAACGATGATTTTAGTCTCAAGTCCAGCAAGGGGCATGTGGTGGAACATTTGCTTACCGACAAATGAAATTACAATTTTCGCATAAAAAGAAATCCCCGATTTAAGCTTCCACTTTGCCCCGCCCCCGAAGTTTTTTTCCCGCGTTAAATGGATTGCTTCAGGCGATATAAACTGTAGAAAACTGTATAAAGGCGAAAAAAATAACCACATGGTCCCTTACTGGATGAGAGCCAATTTTTTCAGATCCCGATTGCGATAGTGGATCTTTATCCAGAATTTCGACATTCTCCACAACGTAGAAGTGACCTACCTCTTTGCAATACTGTCCTCCAATTATTTTCTGACCAGCGTCTAGCGTAGTTTGCTTCGTATCTTGCTCATCGACAGAGAGGCGTGGCTTCTTCTTTGCAGAATTTTTCTTTTCCAACTCAAATATTGGCAGTTTCGGACTCAGCGATGATGACTTTTTCGCTAACGGTGAGGAAAAGAAATCAGTGACTCTCTTCTGCTTCTGCATTGTGCATGCGGTCATCGAACAGTCCTTCAAAGTACCATTTATTCCCAATGAACATAAAAAGTGCTACGTTTTTGGTAAAGTGTAGTTGGAGGAAAGCGTCGCGGTGCGTCAGCGCTCAACGCATCCTTCTCGTACTCACTAGTTGCTTCATTACATAATTCAGGTGGATCACCAAACCATGAGCTTCTCTTAATGAAGAATTGGAACTATTTTTGCCGGAACGAACTCTTGCGTCGTAAGTCCCCTCGGCGCTCATGTCCTTAGGGGGGACATTCAGAACAGGGCATTCAAAAACCGCTGGTAGGTGACACTAGGACTAAGCCCAGGACTGGGAATAAACACAAGGGAGAACAATGGTTGCTCACAAATCCTTTCCCCTCCCTAAAGCTTAGTCCCGAGTTTTATCAGTGGCCCACTCACTCCAATGTCCCCCCTAAGGACATGAGCGCCGTTCTCTCCTCAAATACACTCCCGTCCTCTTTTTGAGCTCACCTCATAATGCTAACATCGGCACCTAATAATTCGACTGCATTAGGACATAGATTATTTTTCCTGAAACACCAAAGATAATAATTCATTAGTATGTTTGAGAGAAGAGAAATACACATCCCAATCATAATAATAAATTTCTAGGCAACAAATCATATGGTTGAACTAAAAACAAATGAAGTACCTTTCCCATCTCAAAATGGAAATGATCAAAAGAAGAATTGCAATTCAAAATTTATTTGTTCCCGCGTTTCAACTAAACATTGGTATAACTGTCTATTTACTCTGCGTCTGGTTTGCGAGGGTTAGACTGCAGACGGATGAGCGCAAGCATAAATCACGCAAGGCAGAGAGTGACTCTACTGTGGTGAATAGTTGTCTTGTTCATCTTGCTCAAAATTACGATTGGAGCGTGTTTCATCGTTTTCGACGTTGTTTGACATCGTGCTTATTACTGTTGCCGTATCGTGGTCCACTGCTGATTTTCATATGTTCTGGTGTCTGCATAATTGATTCTAGGATGTCGAAAGCTGGTTTGGAGCAGAAAGGTCGGTCAGATCCAGTTCTTTGCATTGTTTTGTCTTAATAGAGGTTTATTTACTAGCCATGGCCAAGATACAGGAGTACATGATAGAGCAGAATAGACCTTACAGTGCTACTGATGTGTTCACAAATCTCAGACAGGAGTTTGGAAAAACGGTGGGCGTTTGGGTTTATTTGTAATGCTTGACTGTCTTTTTTTTTTTCAAGATTGTTCACGTTTCAGTTAGTTCTGAAGGTTTTGGAATCTTCTGTTTCTTCGGGAATTTTGAAGGACAAAGTGATAGGAAAGCAGAAAATTTTTTATGCAAACCAGGTACGTTGCTAAAGGGTGTGAAATTTCAAAATCGCAAAATATGTTCGTGTTGTGGAGGGACGGAAGGGGTTCAATAGAGTAAATAAGGGAACAAAGAGGTGAAAAGATTTCGATTTTGATGTAGTTCGAAAAGTTAAAAGGAGCCAAAATGCGGGTGAACAAGCTTTCAGGGATGGCCAAATTGGGCTAGGCAGCGGGTTTTGTATAAGCGAGCATCAAAGTTGCGTCTGTGAATGCTTACGTTACGGTATTTAGGGCGCTAGAAGATTCAAAGACATATTTGGCTCCATATAAAATGAGTCCATTGAAGAATTAATTCAGTAGTTGTTCTACAGGACAAACTTGAAAAATACGATGAAGACGCTATCGCCGATTGTGATACAAAAATAAATTCCCTCTCGGAAAAAGTAAAGAGTTTGGCTGCAAAGAACAAAGAAATCCAAAATGGTAAGCTATTTTTGATCCACTTCATACCAAGTTTTGAACGTTTTCTTCAGAGCTGCGAGACTTGAGTAATGTCGAAACAACGGCTGGATTGCGTACTCTGACAGCTGAGTTGAAGAAAAATGTACGGTTTCAGCGGAATTTCGCTCATGATTTATATATTTATTTGACTGTTCAAGATTGACAAGATGAAGGTTCGCATTGAGAAATTGGAAACTACCAGAGATCCATCGACAGCCGAAGACGGCAAGAGAGCGCTTCAAATGGAATCCACGATCTCCAAGACCGTGCAGAAACGGAAGAGGCTTGTGAGCCAACTTGTAAATATCAATTAATTTAATCACTCAATTTTTTGGGACCGTTCCATACAGTACACCCATAAACATGTTGTAGGCCACAGACATGCTGAATGCCATTATGGAGAGTTCACCGCTTCCCAAACGCGAACTTTTGGTACGTCAATGTGTCCGTGTTTCAGAGAAATTTTTTCTGTGTATAGTTCTTATAGGAGTCCATGGGAGTTGAGCTGGATTGAAGTGTGCGGTATATCGCCATGATTTTCTGTGAATATAATAATTGTGTGGTTATTTTGCCAATAGAGTTGTTCACCGGTGTGCTATTCGTTCCAACGCATTGCTTTGTTATTACCATGTTGATATGAGAAGTTTAAGAACTCTTATAAGAAATAGTAAATAAATAATTACCATAAATGCTTTGTTCTTCCTTTGTTGCGAACTTTCGCTAGGTCCTTCAAATTGCTCATTTTCTGATTCATTAACTTACATCTATCAATTTTTATGATGAAAACAGAGGGGGAGTTCCACAGCGTTTCCAGCAGCACTTATCGGGAGCTTACCGAAGAAGAAAAGCAAAAATTGCAACAGCAGGTATTCTAATTTCGATCTGCGGAGCATTCGTTTCCAGTTTCTTCGTTCTTCAAGTCTTGGGTATTATTCAGGATACTGTGAACGACTTCAAGCAGCGGAAATTGGAGGCAGAAGCCCAAAAAAATTGGGACAAGTTCTACCATAGAAATCGAGAGAACTTTTTCAAAGGATCGTAACTGGAGCAGCCAGGACTTGCAGGAGATTTGTCATGACATGGACTTAACGGTAGCCCTTTGCCACCCTAGCTGTAATTGTCAGGGGCGGGAATAGAGCAAATTTTTTATTCGTATGTTAGCTTTCTATTTCTTTATGATTCAGGGACCAATCACTTTCCTAGAAGCTGGTTGTGGTGTTGGTAATATGCTATTTCCTCTCAAAACAGCTTTTCCAAATTTTCGTCTTCAAGCATTCGATTTTTCACCTCGTGCTGTTCAGATGTGCTCGCAAAGGAGCAAGAACGTTAGGGGTTAGTCGTTCGAGTATGAGATCATTTTCTAGATCAACCTGATTAAATTTATTAAGTTTAGGTCGAATTGGAGACGTCAATTGTTGATCTTTCTATACCCATGGAGAAGTCTGATTTTGCGGAACAGGCTGATATTGCAACACTGATATTTGTGCTTTCGGCCATCCATCCTGATAAGCATGGAGAAGCAGTGAGAAATATGCGTAAATATGTCAAGGTTAGTCTGGTTCCTTTCCCATTCACGAGCCACGTAATGTTCTTGTAGTTTAGATTTCTTCGCTTTTTATTTCTGAATAGTGACTTTTTTCTTGCTTTAAATCGGCGCTCATGTCGCTAGGGTTGGCATTGAAGTAAGCGAGCCACTTATAGGAGTTCGGGCTGAGCTTTAGAGAGAAGGGATTCTGGGCGAGGGCGTCACCAAGCTTTGTTGTACCTGGCGTTTCTTCTATCTCCTGGGCTTGGGCCTAGTGGCAACAGCCAGCGTTCTTTATACCCTGTTTCCAATGTTCGCCCCTTCCCTCTTAAGGACATGATCGCCAATGAATGTGATTGGATATTCGTTATCTGTAAATGGGTTGTAAAGCATGAAAGTCTACTACTTACTGCAATGGCATAGAATTTTTGCGATGAGGGTTCGTGTTTGTGTGTGCGTTTTACTTTCTTTGCACTGTGTGAAAAGCATTTCCCAGCTCTAAATATAGGAATTGAACCGGCCCAACATCGGCCTATTAAAATATTTAACCCTTATCTATGCATTTTAATCAGCTGCGAAAGGGACGAGTTTTTCAAGGGTCTTTGTCTAACCAGGAAAGGTCTTTTGGTCAACCCGGCCATTTGAAATGTGAGATGTACATGAGTATACGCGCCTTGGGACGCTGAGCTCAAATATGTGTTCCTTATCTGCTGAACTCTTCTCTGAAAGGAATTATGAAGCAGAAAAGCGCAGGGGCTGTGGTCGAGGCTCACGAAAAAGAGGTCAGGGGATCAACTCCCTGGCGAGTTTGTTCTTTTGCCGTTTGCAGTAAGATAGCTAGGAAGACTCCTAACATTGCTAGTCCAACATGCTTGCGTATAGTTAAAGTAAAAAGAATTAAAGGGCAATTAATAACGAACTTGGGCGGCATCGCTCCTCACTACTTTGGGCGCTTGTAGCGCAGGCGCCAGGCATTTTTGCCTCGAACAAGTATGATATTCGTAATCAGGGAGCCAGACTCTCCCTTTGAGCGAACTTCTAGCGAATTCTGAAATTTTGACCTAACCTCGAAAATTTGGGCAGTCACTTACTCACCGATCCACCAATCCATTACAAAAGGCTGGCACTTGGGTAGAATAAATTTTTCAAAACTTTTCATAATAGACGAAAATTGTGTCTGGCTTGCCCGTCCGCATCATCCAAAGATCTACAAACCATTATTTCCTAATACAACACCTTCTCTCCCCTTCCCCCGTCGTCCATGATTGGTCAACCCAAACATGTGCACTTGAGAGCGAGGTGTGAATTCTATCATAGGCTCCGGCTGTTTTGCTGCGATAAAGTCTCATGACATAGTTTTTTCGCAAGAACATGTTTATAGAGGGTAGTTCGCGGGTCCGGGCCTGAGAGTACGAGTCCCGGGGTTCGTGAAGAACATAGCCCAGTGCGCTAGGCGGGGAAACCATGGCACTCAAAGGGCAAGAAAGTAGTTAAAGGACGAATTTACGATGGAAAAGCAACCCATTCCAAATTGAGGTAGAGATGGTGAGTAGTACCAGAAAGAAAGCGAAACCACGAAAAACGGCCCAGAACCGGAGAAATGGGACCCCTTCCTTGTCCGTTGATTTGAGCATTGATGGGACTCTCATCGCTTTGCCCTCTTCAACCCTACGCTCTCTCAGCTATCTAATCACTCGCCACCTATTGTACTACGGCGAGTGATCAGACGATCGGTGGGCGGAGATCGCCGAACTCGCCAACTTTGAGCCATGCTAGATCTCAGAGGTCAAATCTTTCGATGCCGATTTGCGTGTCTGTCCGCCTGAAGAGATTCACCGTTCTCCCCACTAGGCGATTTCTCTCTTCTTCGACCTTCGTTCTTTCCGTGCAATCCTCCTTTAAACTTGAGAGGATCTGCTTGCAAACGCTCCGTAGGTGTAGTGTTGGGCGACCGTTGATAAGGAATTCAAAATTGCTTTTTAGCCATGTTGAAAAAGCAAATCCCGAGCTCGGAAAGGAGCGAACCCGACCCTGTTTGGAAGCAGACCGCTGGCGCACTGCGCTACCGAGCTCACCTCACCAGTGCCTTCGGTTCTCCTTTCGATACTTTTCATAGTGCGGCTAACATGTGATTGCAGGTAAAACACTGAAAATCAAGGGCGGCAACAAAAACCCTCCGTAACTCCTTTCAGAGAAGAGTTCAGCAGATAGTGAAAGCAGATTTGAGTTCAGCGTCTCATGCTGCGTACAGAAATGTGCACCTCATTTCATTTGGCCGGGTTGGCCTAATGACTTCGTAGAATATACATTTGGCGTGCCTTTTTTGTTTTTATGGAACCGTGCACATTCTCTTCCATCTTAAAAATGCGGTTTCGCTGGCGAGGTTTCGTCCATCAGAGCTTCGCAGTTTGCAAGCCGGCGGAGTATGTGGCGGTTTCATCGCTCCGAGATGCTGAAGCAAGGCAGATGCGAGCACGATTTTCCCCAAAGGCTTGCTCCGTGGAATTCAACTTTCAGCATAACTTAGTAAATTTGGCAGCGGCGCCTGTCGCTGCAGCGCATTCGCTTTACGAACTCTCCCGCTTAGATCCAGTTTCAGCGTAATTTCCCAAATTCAATTACTACGCTCTTTTGAACTTTAAGACCGGCGGTTCTGTTGTGGTGCGGGATTATGGTGTTAATGATTATGCAATGATTCGATTCGGACATGGCGCGAAGCTGGCTGATCGTTTACGGCGAGGCGGTGGAACTCGGCGTCTATTTTATTAGGTGCGTAATTGTTATAGCTGATGGGTTTACCTTTTATTACTAGGTGGCGTTAAAGTCATGAGTGCTGTAGGTTTTGAAAAGGGAAATGTTTGTTTGAGCGGTTACAGGGCTTCAGTGGTGATATTTCAGAGGAACTAGAGAAGCTGTTTGAAGCGACCAGTTGGAAATGCGTTCACAAGGAATACCTGCATCGGCAGACGATTAATCATCAAAAGCAGCTTAATGTGCCAAGGATATTTGTGCAGGCCCGTTTAGATCGTGAAGATTTGATGTATGCTTCTTACTACTATAATTATTGGACCCGATGATTTTAAACTTCGTATCTTGTGAATGCGAATCGCTTCGGAGAACTGCCGTAGAGAACATGATTAGGTCCTTTACGTGAAAAATTTGGCGGTGGTATAAAAGTGGGTATGGGATATCCAGCAGCTATTTTGTTGCTAACTCGATAGAGATCAATTATATGTTTGGAAAATATTTCCGTGAGATGCTCTTTTGTTAAGTTTTTAGAGACTAGGATTATTCACTTGGCGATCGAATCGTCTTTGGAATAAGATTTGCAACCTTTCATCCATTCCATGTGATGCCTCTCTTCAGCAGAGTGATTCTATTTATATGTATATGCAGTGTTTCAATATAAACGTCTTTCGTCAAGGTGAGCATAAAATTAGGGTTTGAAATGGTGTCAGGCTTTAGAGTCGCCGTTGGCTCATCATTTCTGCAGTGAACTTGAAAGTGCAGTGCTCATGTGTGGTGGCCAACGGAATCAGATTTTCAGGTTAAGTGAGAAAGTGCTTGACAATAGTGACTTATGCTGCCTTAGCGGCGCGGCTAAGCTGATGTAACTACTATTCTTTTAGTTTATTCTTCTTGCCTAAAGTGGGCAGTGCTTCTTGCTGTGTGTAACTCGAGTTCGTCGAGACTTTATGCTTCGTGTTGTAGAGATTCTATCTGTGGCTCGTGTCGTTAGCAGCTGAAATCGTCGTAGATTCCCTTCGTCATGCGAAACTTCTAGAGCCATCCTCCAGTTTGTTAAAAGTGAGACGAGGTGGACGGTAGGTGCACGGTGAAATATTCCTGAAATTTCTCTCAATAAGCAGAAGGAACCCCTGGTTATGGGAAGGACCGCAGTGAAGGTAATCCAGAATTTCCGATAGATTCCAGAGGCCATCTTCGCTTGTCTGAAGTCGCAGAGCAAACTCGGAAGTTTTGACCACTTATGGTTCAAAAATGTCCCATAAAAATATTAATAGTGCGCATAAAGGGGAAAGGGCAAAGGTCACTTCACTCACGTTGTATACCAACAAAGGTCAGGTTTCAAACGAAGGCGAGGTAGCTGGGAGTCCTTGACAATATGCCTAAGGATGTTCCTAGGTGAGCGCAAGCAGACTCTTAACTATTGCCCTCCCCGTCCCTGTATTACTTGCCAGAGTCACCATGCTTGCAAGCAGCACTTCGACTGAAGTGTTTAGAAGATTGGAAGGTATTTCAAATGGCAAATTTCCGTCATTGGAGCTAAGAAACACATGGGCAGTCAATATAAGAATCGGCGCCAAATTTTTACAAAGGAAAATATACGTAAATTTTCCCAATCTGTTCGCACCTTATTTGGCAGTTCCCTGAAACAAGTTATGTTATTGGAATGGAGTCTCATTCAGGATTTTGTTTGTTTTGCTTGCAGGCAGCGGTTTGATCAAGAGTAGGAAATTAGAAAATTTCAACTGACAAGTTTCTTTCAACGTATTGCGATAATTGTTGTTACAATTTAGAAGATGGTAGTCGGTAGTGATTTTGCGAAGTTGACTGGACAATGGAATTTTTTAAGATAGTTGTTCTTATAGTTATTTATTACAATGGATCCAAGGAACACATAGGCAGCAGTCGATATTTATAAGAATCGGAGCCAAATTTTGTACAAAGGAAAATATGTGCGAAATTTTCCATTCTATTTGCACGTCATTTGGTAGTTTGATTTGATGGATGTGCTTGCGTAGTGATTTCATTTCCCTGAAATGAGTTATTGAAATGGAGTCTCAATTAGGATTTTCTCAATTCGTACCTGATTCGTTGGTTTGTTTTGATCGATGTTCTTCTGCAGAGCCTTCATTTTCCTGAAATCATGCAAATAGGGACCTATGGAAGGTATACAAGGTATACAAAGTTCTTTATGTTCATCGTATCTGTAATTCGGGCGGAAGTGGTATAGTGGCAAATGGCAACGCTTCCTACGCGCACGACCCGGGGATCAAATCCTGGTCTGTTCCAGGTCAACCAACTTTTCCATCACTGCGAGATCGGTTAATCGGTAGCACACTTGTATGGTAGGAAAACAGTAATATGAACATTGGTTTTTCTAAATGATTCATGGTATGGACCAAATAAGGGCGGCAGTGGTGTAGTGACAAGTGGCATGCTTACCACGCGAGCGGTCCGGGGATCAAATCCTGGGTCGTGAGTCGCCCGGGCCAACCAAGCCTTCCATCCCTCCGGGGTCGGTTAATTGGTACCAGACTTGTCTGGGAGGATAAAAACACTGACTTGTACATCGGCTGGCCCCGCAAGTCATTGTATAGGCCACATCGCATTCAAACGCCACTACGAATGTACAAATGGAAGTAGAATGCGTGCCGCATCCCAAAAAGGGATTGATCAACGGCAAATGCTTTATCCTTTATTTCCTTTATTCACTATAAATGGTAACCTTGGTGAAGCAACAAAAAATTGTGTAAGTTTGAATGGCATTGCACGATCAAAATACCTCGATGAAGTAACTTTCTGTATCCGGGTCAGTTCTCATCTGGTTGAGAAATTTGGGAGGGGCAGTTACCCACAGTCTTTACGACTAAATCCTCCAGCCCCCCCCCCCCCAATCTTTGCGATAGGAAGGAAGGTCAAGTGATGTGAAAGAAGCTGGCTCCAATGTCCTAGCGTAGTTAGGACTACGTAACTATAGTGACCCTGGTAGTATTACGTGCAACCTACCTCTCATCTTGAGAACTGGAAATTTCTACCCGTTCATAAGAGTTCCTTCTTCTAGACTCGGAGGCACCAACGTAGCGGGAGTTCATACTGGAATGTGGTAATCAAATATATTGGAACAATACTGGAACCGCTCGAAGGATGACAATCCTTTAAAGGCAAAGGTCGGGCTCAGGCACGCTAGAGAAGTAATTCCCGTGCCTGGAGGTTGTATGTGGGTAGCTGCACACATTGCAGCAACTTCCCACCTTGAAAAACCCCGTTAAGGCCCCGGGGCGTTCGGTTTCAATCCAGGGCCGCCTGGCTATAACAGGACAACGCCCTCGCGAAGTTTGGTGCGCTGGCATAACGTGTGAAACAGCTGGGTTGATTGCCGTATCAACCGATAGAACGACTGACATCTCCAGAAAACTTGTTTGTACGTGCCTCTTTCCCAAGCCAGCCTCCTTCACTGCTAGTGGGAAAGAGGGTTTTGTTAACGGCCTTGTCGACGGTTTTTCTCAGTTTTTTCTCCACTGTCGTTCCTACTTCGCATCCCTATACTCAGTTTCAATCGCCATAATACCCCCTTATTAAGCCCGACTTTGCCTTCAAGAGCCAGTTG